ATTTCTAGAACAAGCTGCGATAAAATCTGAACGCCGATTGTGCAATGTTCTACAGAGCCCTAAAAATCGTATGTTRTTATTAATAATATTTGAAGTTCATATTTTTTTAATTTTTCACACCGATAAAATATTTACCTGTAAAAATTTCTTAACATCTTCGAAAAGATTTTGAAAAATCAATTCGCTCTTATACATGTCGAACCAACCATATTTAGTAATTTTTGCAAGAAGTGTAACAAGTGCTTGTACCACAAAATGCTGTAAATTGGGACGATTAGCCAAATAATTCAATACATAGCTTCTGCAGAGAAAAATTACAATATTCATAAATATGATCTTCTAAGGATATTCAAATTTGTTTAACCTTATATCAATGCGTTGTTCCAAATTCAGTCCTTGTATTAATTTTGTTAGTGTCGTAGCAGCTAATAACTGAGCATAGCTAGAATCGGCACGCTCTAATAACATTTGACATTTAGGAAGTGCATCTGGACTACTCACGAAAGCTACTAAAGCCTTCTCAGCATCTGATCGTATCACTGAATCGGTGGCCTCATACAGCTGCTTACAAAGTATTTCTAATTGTTGTATTTCCTGTTAAAACAAGTTTTGGGTATTTTAATTAAAACATTTTAACTGGCGCTTGATATGTTTTTATGAATTAAGAAGTTTTTAATGTACCATTATTCCTCTATCAAAATAGTAGATAATTAATACCACTGCTAAAAGGTGGTATATTCTGGCTTGGGTTTAGTTTGATTTGACCGTATAAAACTATCCAAATTTTTGGATCTTTGTACCACAAATTAGCGCCACTAATCTTTTCACTATTAAAATTTCTTAAACCACCGTTTTTAWAAGCAAGGAGTAGCATCAATCCAATGCTCGCTTGTTTATCACCAAACTCCTGCAAGTGTAGTAAAAAAGTAAATTGTGTTCATAAAATTACAATTTTACGTTTCTCTGTATTTTTCTTGTATTTCAACAGCGGCCATTGACAGTTCGAAAGAGATGCCACGTAAAATAATCAAGATATTGTACTAAAAAAAATAAAACAGTGCTAAATAACATATAAAACGATCATTTTCACCGTTCCTAMTTAATAGGTATATTTTTATCAAAATTTCTGTTTCAATTTTTATATCATAAGGAGRTAAGGTTTAAATGATTGATATAGCAGAATTTTAAATTGTAGCTGTGTAATAATAATAGTAAATAAGATATATGTTCATATATTCRCTTTTAAGAGTACGATTACATAACAAACACAAAATAACATATTGAATAACAAAGGGAAGCACAGAAGCTGAAAGCGTTCATTTTYACTTTCTTTATGCTGGGCTCTCTTCGGTAGCAAAGTTTTATCTGTCCAGCATAACGAGAAAAGTATATCACTTTTTACGATTTCGTTATATTTCATTAAAATGCAACCATGAGAGATGCGTCAATGGAGACCGGCATTGGAATATGTRTGTTTTGCGTGTATTTAAGTATTATAAACATGTAGTAAATATTCAATATATGTATGTAGCAAAGGAAGTAAAAGTGTGTAAAGGATCAAACCATTCAAAGGTAAATANAATATTTATAAAAATTAAAATTCAATTTCCACAGATTAAAGATAGACGAAGTAATTTCCGTTAAAGCTCGTAAAAATAAATCTGAATATATGTACCTGTCATATTACAACTATGATGAGCCACTTGATTATGCCGAAGAGGAGTATGATACCATATTGGAGGAAAATCTGTCAATTAATTCGTGGGCAAACATTTGTGAAAGCTGCATTATACCATCCACTATGCAAATTATATGGTACATGACAGTTTTACTTGGTTTTAGTCTGTTATGCCGAATGGCATTTGTATTTTGCTATTACCTCCCAAACAAAAAGGAGTGGGTTTTACATCTAATTTCTATATCAGCGGGATGCGGTATGTTAATTGTTGCTGTGGGCACTAATTCATTTTTTATTATCTTTTTTGCGATTATTTCGTATTCGATTTTTCATTTAGTAAATTTGTTTTCACCGTTTAGAAAAAATATTGGTGTCATTATGGTAATATGTACAATTTTGACACAGCTTTGCTCCGAGCAAATATGGAAACATCAAATAGCTTGGCAAATGATTAAGGGATCCATCATGGTTGTGAATATGAAGATTATATCTGTAGCTTTCGAAATGGAGCAAACAGTATTGAATAGTCAGCGCGGTATTATTGTTCCTAATGTATTTTCCTTTTTTGGTTATATTTTTACTCCTGCAAATTTAATCGTTGGCCCATGGGTTCCATACAGTGCTTATTTGTATAGCATTCGCATGAATCCACTACATCAATTTCGTATGCGAAAAGTGATGTGGTGCGGTTTTTGCTGTTTACTTTCGCTTGGTTTTATTAATTTGTCGAATTGCATTGTACCATATTTGATTTCAGATCCTCCTCTAATTTGGATACGAATATTTCGTGATGCATTTGCGGTTCGTTGTAGCCATTACTTCGTCAGTTTTTTGTCGCAAGCTTCAATTACCGCTGGTGGTCTGTGCTTTGATAAGGGCGATAAACCGAATAAATGGTTCGGTTACATGGTTACACAGCCTATACACATCGAATTCCCTAGGTCGCTGAGTTCAGTAGTACGAGCATGGAATATACCCATGCATAAATTTCTAAAAGAATTTATATTTCGGGGAATTTATAAACGTTTTAAAAGTCATTTTGTTGCAATTTTTGTAACATATTTAGTTTCATCACTTCTGCATGGCCAGTATTTTAAAATATACTTAGCATTATTTTCACTGGCAATATTTGGTTTTGTAGAAAGCAAACTACGAAAAAAGATTTCTATTGCTTTTAATGCGTGTGTTACTGCAGAAGCTTGCCAAAAGCCATGTAATTTTAAATACTGCCCCAGTAAAGGTTGGCGAAGCGATGGCGCGCTATTAGTAAAACTGACAAATATTTTATTTTCATTGGCGACAATTTTCCATTTAGCATACATAGGTGCAATGATGGAATCTATAGCTGACGAAGATAATGATTTTGTCAACAATTTAAATGTATGGTCGGCAGTAAATTTTATTAATCATTGGCTAGTGTTGCTTACATATGCTCTTTATTTAGTTATATAAAAAATAGTGTAAAATGTAAACGCTTAAGTGAATTATTTATAGTTTTGGAAATAAATAAAAGGYTTCGTGTAATTATATGAATTCAAAGTAATGATTATTTACTAAGGAAACCTTAACTTTCAGTATTATGTTATATGAAAATAAGTAAAACTATGGTCGAGAATATCTACTCTATTTTCTGGCCGATATTGATGAATTCACATCCCGAAAGCAAAACTGCCTAGGATAACTGCATTCTGCAATGTATCTTTGTACGAAACCCGTACTTTTCCGCATAGACAGCAACCGATCGTTCTTTTGGAAATTAATTATTGGAATATTATAAAAAGGAATCTACCTCGACACACAATAAAAGGAAAGCTGGCTGACTCAATGCAAGCAGCCTTCTATCTCTTGATAAAGCATCAATGTACATACATACATAAAATGCAAAGCAAGAAGTATTTTAGATAGTTTAAAAAGAACTGTAAAAACGAACAGTTACGTAAATTTTAGAAGTACTTGCATTTTATTTTCAATTGTGAAATAAAATAATAAAGAAAATAAATACMTWTATGTACATACATATGTACATAGTTCCTTTAAAACATTGACTAGCCATTTTTTGTTAAACCCATATTATCCTCGCAGTTTTTATCATAATACCTRCAAACATTGTCAAAAAATCTTGAAAATTGGACCAAATTATTGAGCAGATATTAGCCTACCAAGAAAACATCAAATTCATGTCCCGTCGCACAAGAAGCATGACAACTTTGAATATCGAACATCGRCGTGACTGCTAATGTGTTAAGGGGAATATACTACCCCACGTATGCAAATGTTTCGGATAGTTTTCTTAACTCCGCAGAATCCTAACTCTTAATTTTAACAGAAATATATGGTTCCTAAGACGGACAAATCTAACCGATTCTCTTGTGTACATGTGATTGTTCATCCTTTTCAAAGCATGGGAAGGGTGACTTCGCATTGCTCAGGAATCCAAATTTTGACAAAGCTTCGTTTTTGTATGTGAGTCGGCTAAAACTCTTTCAAATATGGGAGTTTCGATAGTGGTGACACGCTGAGTTGAGAAAAACAATGAACAATGAGAAACAATGATCTTCTGTGGCAATGATTATTGTTTTACAATTACTAACTGCATTTTGTAATTTTTTTTTATCTAAGTTGTATAACTTCTTGAAGCGTTAAGAAATTTACCTGGGGATGAAAAAATTTAAACCATATAGCATAATCAGAAAAAAAATGTTTGAATTGATCTACAGTTGTATTTTTTATTGTCAAATAAGAATCTTGGAAATATTTTCTTCGCAATAACATTTTCCAGGTGACAATGACAACCTTGTATAACTGATGCGCGGAGCAAAATGCTCGCGACAGACTGCAGCAGCACGACAGTGAACTGAAAACGGCGTTGTGAATCCTACTACATGAACGTTTGTGAGAGGGCAGCAACATAACAATAGCCGGCATGTACACAAAACAACGCAGTTGTCCATTTTGCATGTACACAATTTCGTTGCGGCCATACTAATACCTTRCATTTCAATGAAATTTTAATATTTTGTTCAAAGTGAAATTTTTGTTAACAGTTGTTATTATAAATGATGTAACAGAGCTATTTTATGCTTTTATATCGCCCTGCCGTCGTGTAGTCGTGCAGCTGTCAAAATAGGTCCGTCCATAAGAACGTGTGTATTTTAATATTTGACAGATGTCGTTTCCAGTCTGTCGCGAGCATTGTATTCCACACATGATAGTGTAAAGCTGTATTTAATGATTCCGTTCCGCCCTTCCGTAGTGACAACTTAGTTGTTGTTATGCTATTTGTGATTTTTTTTTTTTGACTATATTTGAAGTATTCTTAAACTAGCTCGAAATTACGTTAAATATAATTATTTATAATTATGTAGACCATTTTAATAATTGGATTCTCATTTCAATGTTTTACAATATGAAAAATTATAACTGAAAAGTTAGTTGTGTCAAAACAATATATACAAGTTGAACATTGGTACTATTGCTCAAATAGGATCAAGAGAGAACAACAAAACCTAAGTTGTCACTACGGAAAGGCGGAGCGGAAATCACTAGTTGCTGCTTAAGGAGTAATGTTAATAAGTTGTAAAACTTAGTATTGTTATTGGAGGTATAAAGAAACTATGGTAATGCACAGTAAACACATTCTATTTAATCCTTTAACTGTATTAATTGCTTTGGATTTAATTTCACGTATGAGAGTAGTGAGTGCTATTCATGCACGCAGTGAAAAAGAAATGCAAACCACAGCTGTTCAATCGGTTGTACCTATTACGTCTCCATCGTCTTTAACTGGTTCAGCAGCAGTATCCTCAGATTTCAACCCACTTGGACCAATGGTTATGTGTTCGTTTTTGCCTCGTGACTTTTTGGAGTGCAAAGATCCAATTGACCATGATAACAATAATACAGCCAGGGCAGTAAAAGGTTACGGATGTCTACGTTTTGGAGGATCTACGTATGAAGAAGTGGAGCATACAGAAGTTCTGTGCACWGTATTTTCAGATATTGATTGTTATGGACCACGAACATTTTTACGGGACGGTGTGCCCTGTGTGCGCTACACAGATCATTATTTTGTGACCACACTTATATATAGTATTTTATTAGGGTTCTTAGGTATGGATAGATTTTGTTTAGGCCAGACAGGCACAGCCGTAGGAAAGCTGTTGACACTCGGTGGCGTTGGAGTATGGTGGGTTATTGATGTTATCCTACTTATCACAAACAACTTGCTTCCAGAGGATGGGAGCAATTGGAACCCTTACATATAAGATGGAAGTACATATAGTATTTCCGAAATATTGTGATATTATAATAGAATAAAATTGTAAATTTAATCATAATTGCTAGTTATTGATACTTTTCATTAATTGACCAAATTTAGAAATGTATTATTTAATAATTACTCAATATCAATATTAATAAAAGCTGCTTTCATTTGTTTCAAGTTGAAAGAACGTATTATATTCTTTAAAATCATTTTGTTTCGTATTTTAATTAATATACAAATTTCGTWAGATATACAAATAAAACGCAGTGCTTCTCAATTAACAATTCAAATATAGATAYATATATACGTATGTATGCATTAATATATTACATATTAATAATTTCCAATAAACATGTTTCAAGGTCTAAATTACGAATTTTCTCCCCTATATTATATCCGATACTTAGTTATTTTCAATCCTGGGAATACCTGCAGATATCGAGCTTTCGATTCCGCAGTGATCTTCGCCMCGCAAAATTTTAAAGTATCCATTATTTCCCCAATCCGTATTCCATGAATTGGCTATTAACCAGTATGGTGTATTATTTTCTACTCCCCAACCTAAAATACGAATAGCGTGACCTCCAAGGGCCTTTCCCATTACATGTTGATAAACACCGTCTTTGTACAATATTAAATCTTCATAAACTGTAAATGCTCCCTCAACAGGACCATTTTTATATATTTCTTCTTGGATGTCTCGTTGATTGCGGCCGATAGAATACGCTTTAGCACCATAATGTTTATCCTTTGCGTAATCACCTTTATAACTAGCTTGACATTTATGTTGGCATCGGGGAGTCTTTCCATGTTCACCATCGCAAGCTGGACGCGTACCATTTACGTGATGTTCACATGGTGCAATCTCATATGGACGACAACCCTGATGTAAGACAAATTAAATTATACAATTTGTTTATAAAACGATATGTATAACCATAGGCTTTACCTGATTAGAACCAAAAGCACCACCACTAACTATACCCTTTCGAGTCCAATAGCTCCAGGCAGCTCCTGGAAATCCCCCGTTGCATCCAAATCCACATGTATGGCAACATGATACCAAGTCGTCAGCAGAAAAGTGAAAATTTTTGGTTCCGTTGGAATGAATGCAAAACTATCCACGGAATATTGAATTTTTAATAAAAGTGTAGGTTTTAGAGTTAAAATTATGCATGCGTACTAAATAAACTCTACAGTATTAATGGCAAATTCTGTTGATTGTATGTATTAAGAACAAATGACTAATGCGATAAGGTTTATTATTAATAACAAAGCATGTACATATTTATTTTGCACTTAATACACATATGTTTATGTATAAGTGTAAGAGATAGTTAACGAAACGCAAAAAAGTTACAAACAAAGGAAAATATATGTATTTCGATCAACTGTACTCAATTTGTATAGCATTCACTTACCCTATCTGACATTGCTTCCACTGCTCCAAACGCCCAACACGATCCGCAAGAACCTTGATCCCGTATTTCCGAAATAGTAGGACACTGAGACCATTGCTTTCTCGAATCAAATTGCTCTGGCAATTCAATATCGCTATCACCAGATTCTTTTATTAATTGTGGCAGTGCGAATTTATGCGAATCTGGGTGGACTCCCATTAAACCACGAATGTATTTCTCACCGATAGATTCAGGAAAATTCCTTCCCGGCTAAAAAAAATTATATTTAATTAAACCAATAAGTTCCTAAATAAAGTTTCTTACTGTCCATGTTTTCGCATTATTGCGCACCAGTTCAATGAATTCATTTGATAAAAAATGCGCATCAGTTGCATCTTTTTCTCCAGATACTACGATAGCAACAGCCAATAGAAAAAAACCAATGAAAATAACTCTCATTTTCGCTAAAACAAAATGATGTTAATATATAAAAAAAAAATTAGGAGTAATTAATAAAAATAATTACCTAACTACAAAAGGTTTTCAAGTAACAAAGAATGGTATAATGTGAGCTTATCGAAATCGCACAACAAATTAATCAAATTTGCCAATAAAATATGAAACCTAATGTTGAACGGTTGTATAGAGGAGTATCTTTTATTACAAAAGGACAGTTTTGAAAGCTTTGTGTTACATTATACTCAGACCTCACCTGTGATATAATTTTCTAAAAGCGATCAACACCATACTTTTTAGCATGACTACGCTGCCTCTTCATAGGTAAAAATTATTAGAATTATAAAATTCTGCTATTCATATGTGTATATATTCGTTCAAAATTTCAATAATATTTTKGTAGAATCTAGTGGAACATATAAAACTATCAAAATTTCAAATCAATTCAAACGAAATTTATCTGAATAATTATATCGGCTTGTATTGCCTACTTTATATTGACATCTCGATTGAAATTATTACCTCTAATATTATTGCGTTACGTCGATTGTTTATGGAAACAACTAATAAACAGTATACATTAACATATGGATGAAAAATTAATCAAGTGAAAAGTGAAGTTATTGACGTTGGATATCTGCAATAACCTTTTAAAAATAACTAATGTTTTAATTCTGATATAAACAATATGACTTCGCGTAACCTAACTGAGGTTTTTGTGATAATGCGCAATAATGCGTCCAAACATCGAAATTTGTATTCTGAAAGCAGAGTATGTTATTTAATMTTAAATATAATGTATGTTTTAAAAGGTATCTTCCATTTTGGATAGATGACAGATGATGCAGAACGTTTAATTAATAATTCAATCCGCGATGCAGAGGAAGGTTTAGAAATGCGGGATGACTACGGTACTCCTCCTTTGTGGATAGATAAGCTGGAGGAAGTACAATACACTTTATCTAAGTATTCGCATATATAGGTTTTCTTATCGGTGTAGTAAATTTAATTTAAACAWTTTTTTAGAATAAAGCCAAAACTTGATGAATTAGGTTCATTACATGCAAGACACCTGTTGCAACCTGCTTTTGATGAAAATTTTGAGGAAGAGAAGGAAATAGAATGCCTTAGCCAGGAGATTTCGAAACTTATCACATCCACTCACCGACATATACAATGTATTCGATCGAGTCTTGGTATAGGAACTAAGAAGGAACAGCGGTTAACAGAAAATGTGGTTACTTGTTTGCTAATTCAATTGCAAGAATTGACCTCTAAATTTCGTAACAGCCAAAGTAACTACGTACGACAACTGAACTCCAGAGAAGAACGTTCACAAAAATATTTTAGAAATGATGATTTCACAAACATTGACTTGGTTTCGGGTACTACAGATTATCATGATAATTTCGTAGATACATTTGATAACTTTCTACAACCCGTTTCCTCTGTATTAMATAATAATATGTCCACTAATAAACGTGGGTATTTATATGATGATGAATCTTCTGAACAAATAGATGAASATTTTCAACGTCCTATATCGAACCGCATGACTAAACAGCAGCTTCTACTTTTTGAAGAAGAAAACACTCGCTTCGCAATTAATCGTGACGAAGAAGTCACCAAAATCGTAAAATCCATTTATGATCTCAATGATATATTTAAAGATCTTAGTCAAATGGTACAGGAACAAGGTACTATATTAGATCGTATTGATTACAATGTCGAGCAAACTCAGACAAGGGTATCTGAAGGACTTCGGCAATTACAACGCGCTGAAATGTATCAAAGAAAAAACCGGAAAATGTGTATTATTATGGTGTTGGCATCTGTAACTTTATTTATGCTTCTCCTCCTTATTTTTACAAAGTTATAAATGTGAAAAATAAATATTACTAATTCAATATATAAGCAAGTTATATTTCATCACCAACATAATAATAATTATAATTGATTATCTATTTTTTCACATACGTTCAGACAACCGACTAGCCACTGATCGGAGATTTCCATATACTTTACTTGGGGGTGAACCCAAAATAAGATTACAAATGGCTCTCCGTGCTAGTTGAATATTTTGATAGCTCCCTAAGATGTGAATTTTGCTGTCAGCCAAAACAATGCGAGTTTTTGTAACATTTTCTATAGTGAATTTTGTGCGACCTCCTTTGCCTGCCAAACGTCCTATTGCGCGACTCAAGTGATCACCACGTAGAGTTTTTACATCCTTTACTTCAAATGTTTCAACAAATAAATCTTCTAAACGAAGCAACGCCAAAGCGTCATCCACATCGAATCCACAAAGGAATGCTTTAACAAAATCAGCACCTTTTTGAAGATTAGATATGTCAGGTGTTTCATCGCTAATTCTTAGCTCTACCTAGATAAATAAAAACCATTAYATTTAATTTGCATGAATAAATTATTCTTTAACAATGGTATGTGATTTCTTAAGGGGTTACATGGGTTTATGGGTTTCAAAAAATCTAATTTTTTTATTGTCTCTTTAAATTTTACAACGTTGAGAATACTGTCCCGATTTTTCAAGTTGATCCGAGTAATAGTTTTGGAGATACAGYCTTGGGAATGGAAACTTGTGTGCTCGAGGCTAAGTGCGCCGTCTTTAAACGCCTTTTTCTCGAAGATGTATTTTTGAAGTCGATTGGCAAGATTTCTCGAGAACTACAGAATCTTTATCTACCTTTATAACTASCATCTTTTTTAAAATTTACAAAGGTCTTTGATATGCAATTCTTAAATACTTTTACGAAGGACTTTTTATCGAAATTTCAATATTATTTGCAAAAATTTCTGATAAAAATCCAATTTTAATTTTTTTCTTCGTCCAAGTTCTAAGTTAAAGTTTTAACTAAAACACATATTTTTTCACTTTAGATGATCCCACTAACGCCGGCGCATCAATGGCCGATTTAAATTTGCTTTACAAAAATTTCAGAATTTCTTTTTAATAACAATAAAAAATTCGAATCAAATATTTAATTTTTTATAAGAGTAAACAATTTTTGAAAAAGGATGCACTTTACCCGAGGAAACCCATGTAAATTCTTAAATCAAGTTTCAACCATTTTATGATCATTATACTTACTTGTTTCGCTTTCATATTAAATCTTATTTGTAACTTCATATGTTCGACTACCGGAGTAAATATTTTCATCCAATGTTCTTTAAGAGATGAGTATCTAACAATTTTTAATGTCAGTTTCYAATTAAATATACTGTACTGTGATAATACCTGTGTGGCGGAACAGAAATTTTCCTAGTATCACTTTTTTGTCGTTTTGCACGCGGTGCTTGGAGTCTTTGCTTTGTTTCCTGCAATGGAGCYTCCTCGTCAACTTGCATCGCTGTGTTATAATCTGCAGATCGCTTTGGAGCCTTTTTAGTCACGGTAGACGGTAAAAAATCATCACTATTTATATTTTCCACTTCCATTATTAGTTTTCTTTTTAAACGTATCTTTCACCACAAAATATAAATTTTTWTGATTGCTTTAAAAACTTCCACAAATAAAATGTTACAAAAACATGTGGCTGAAAGTATTCGTAAAAGAAAAGTCAAACTTATTTACATACAAAAATAATTTGACATTCAATATCAGAAAAAATTCAAAACAGTCTATAAAATATAACAGGATGTCTTCACCTTCAATTATATTAGAAATGTTCTGAAAGCAAATCTGCATAGAACTCTAGCATGCTACATTGATTTGAATATTTGAGTATGAATATGCCCACCTTTAACTTAAGTTCGTTACATTGTTATTAAATGCATATATAAAAATCCTCGTATTAAATGTATCCCAATGCATAATAAGTCAATCGTAATCGGCGAATGGAATAATTTTTTTTCTATTGCAATCAAAAGAAATATTATATGTATCGATCACTTTATGAAGTTTATAGATATTTATGTTGGTAATAAATGTGAGGTGTAGACACAGAATTATCGTACTGCAATACATGTATAATATGCCTAGTGAATGCATTTGTTTGGCTTTAGAGAGAAAAAGTTTTAAAGTTTTTTCCCTATCTTTTTAAAAAAGAAATTTTAATGGAAGAACACAAATTAGAGGAATTGCGTAGCAAAAATTTTAGTCAGATTAAATCTATATTGACCGAATTTAAYACAAAAGTAAGTATAAAATACAAATAATGGTTGATATGAATATATATATAATCACGTATTTATATGTACATATATGAACATAGATTATAAAATCTAAAACAACAAAACACCGATGTAATATTTTTTTTTTTATTATTCTCAACTGATTAGAATGATGACCTATTCAATTTTTCGGCTTTCCATGTGGATGGGCGCTGGCATGCTTTGTGGCGTGCACTCTTTGATATACTTAAAGACGATAGCTTACAGGATTTGCATGATCTAACTTTAAATAGTGTCCGTATCCTCACCAGAGACAAATGTAGTTTACAAACAGAGGATTTAGAAGAAGATGTATGTTGTCTTCTTAAACTAGCTCATTTGGAGCATCCTGAAGCTGTAGAAGTTTCTGATGCTACTGAGCTAACTGGTTGTGAATCGAATGTGATTGACATTGATTCAGACGGTTCAACAGTTCAAAGTGTTAATGTACACTGGAGTGGTAACACAACMAGAGTTGTAGTTGAGTCTCTTAAGTGTCTGTGTAATTTAGTATACCAATGTGCAGATCGCCGTCGGCAATGCGTAAAATCTAACATTACAGATGCTATTCTAAAGCGGATCGCTTCATCTGTACAACATCCTCCTTCAGTTGAATTTTTTGATATGAAATTGTTATTTTTAATAACAGCAATGGAGCCAGCAACCCGTACACGTGTACAAATTGATTTAAATGGGGTGGCTTATATGACTGAATGGCTTGATGAAAAACTTGTAGAGAAAGATGCTAGTGATGAGCATATGGATTTATTATGTGAGATGCTAAAGGTAATGTTTAATATTACTACAAATTCTGACAGAAGCCCAAATGAAAATGAAATTCAGAGTCGACACTTGACTGGTGTGCTACGAAAGTTGCTATTAAATTTCGGAGATCTAAGGAATGACCGAGAACGTAATATAATTATGCACGCTATTAACCTTTTGACAAATATTTCTAGTAGTTGTTTGACAGAGTTGATAATGAAAAGTGAATCAGGAGGTCCGGACTCATCATCTTTATTAATTTATGAAGGATATAATGTGCGTGCATTAGAAATAATTACCAGGTATTTAAAAGTGATATTAGATGAACAGGAAGAAGCTGCAACATCTAATGAGCTAATATCTCCAGTTCTAACATTGCTGGTGAAGTGTGCACGAAGTGATAGGATTTTGCGTCACTATATTAGAAGTGTAGTGTTACCCCCATTACGAAATGTTTATACACGACCCGAGGTGGGAAATGAACTACGAAATCACTTATGTCGGTTTTTGACTTTACCAGAAATGATGTTGCGTGATTTAGCTACAGAGCTACTTTTTGTGTGCTGTAAAGAAAATGTATCACGCATGGTAAAACATACAGGCTATGGTAACGCTGCTGGTTTATTTGCAAAACGCGGTCTCCTAGGAGGCCGGCACGTCGAAAGCATTGATTATTCTTCAGATAGCGAGRACAGCGATACAGAGGAATATAAACAAGTGCAACATAATATCAACCCAGTTATTGGATGTTATGAGGCTCCGAAAAAGAGTCCTTTCGAAGGTATGTCTGAGGACCAGAAGCAATATGAGGCCATGCAGCTTGTAAATCTAATGGACAAATTACACAAAACGGGAGTGGTACAACCTTGTCGAATTGGTGAGGACGGCAAACCACAACCAGTAGATCATATTTTACAATTGCAAGAGGAATTACCTCAACAACAAGCGGATCAGAAACGTAAAACGTAAGAGATTTTAGTAAACTAGAAATGATAGCCAATTTCAAATAAATGATAAATATTGAAAGTTGAATTTTAAAATGTAAACGTAAATAATAAATTACATTTATTTTTGAGTTGTTTACTCTTATAGCCGTATTATAAAAAAGTCGTTAATGTTAATTATATAACCAAAAATTTTGTATGTATTACATATTATATCTAAAAATTTATACTTACGTGTGCTTCAATAAAATACTAAGAATAAGAATTTGAATTCATAAAATTAAAAGAAAGAATTGGTATTGTTAGAGTATCAAGATTTCTCAGTCTCTAAAATAATATATAGTATACCATCTGATTAAAAATGACTCGAACTGACTGAAAAAGCTTTATTTTCAAGTGTGTATATCAAATTAGTATCGCCTTCAAAATTAGGCTTCTTAGCCAATACAATAGCCATACTCTTTTTTTTATATTGTAACGGATTTGCAATAAAAGTGTAAATAGACCAGTACGGGTCAATAATACATCTCAGTAATATTATGAGAGGCAATATACATATGTATGTGCCTACATTACTAAAACCAATATACTTAACTCTTTTGGTGCCGGGCGAAACAGAGGTGCCTATGCGAAAAAACCGTCCGAATTTCGCAGTTTTTCAAGGGTTAGAACAAACGTCGTYCAAAAAAAGTTCAAACAAAAAAATAATTTTTTTAATTATGTTGTAATGAAATTAGATCATTTATAACGCATTATAAATTTATTTTGAGATAGACTTCTGCCGCAATGCGAGTAAACCGCTTCAAGGCGCGAGCCGATGTATCGGCTCTGGTACTTTTCGCAAGTACAGCTGGAGGCGATATATCGGCTTCCGTCACTTAAAGGGTTAATAGGGATGTAAACCATTCGTCGTTTCATCGGATAATGAATTTGAACTCATTTGAAATTTTTTTTGTATCCTGAATAAGGTATATTAAGTTTTCCACAAAGTTTGTAATACCATGAGCTGAGTCGATTTAACCACTTGCGTCTCAATTTTTAAGATGTAGATTTGACATAACGTTTTTTCCCAAAAGCTGCTCATTTATCGGAACCGCCGATATTGGACCTCTATAGCATATAGTTGTCATAAAAACTGAACGACATATACATGTCCTTTATGGGAAACTTTTTTTTTACTAGATTTCTTCACAAATTTGGAATGAATTATTGTCCAAGGCAATGGTAAAGTCCTCTCTCGATGAACAAAGCCAWAACACATTTTAAATGTGTGCATTGTCCTCTCATGTTATGTAATTATGACATTCTAATAAAAGTAGGTAGATCTATTCTTTGGATTGGACATAATTAATTCACAATTCCGACACAAACAAAAATTAATTTAATGAGAAATCGTTTTTGTGCTCTCGTAAAATAGTAGTTAAGTTAAACTAACGGTAGTCAAATTTAGTATAGATGCTCACCATAGAGCCATGTGTAGTTTAATGTACTAATTTAAAATATTTAAAATTGGTGTGAAAATTACCTTCATTGGTTAATTTTATGAACTGAAGTGAAAAGGAAAAATATGCTTTTATGCAAATTTATTTGGCAATAGGAAGATGCAGAAAGTCAATTAATAATATACTAAATATGAAAATTTCCGTACATAAGGCCTATTATTCCGATAATATCGGTAAATATTTTAGGAAATCTACTGGAGTTAAGGGACACATTTTGATCATATCAATGTGACTTGGAGTTAAAATCTCATAAAATCGGTCTAGCTTTGTAAGATATATATTTGTCAGAATATACGACTTCTTAGGAAAATTATTATCTTGGACATACTRCATTTCCGTACGAAAAATTATTGAATTCGGTTTGAGTTTATMCTTCTCATGGCCTGTAATATGAGATTATTAGCCCTTTAATTGGATAAGATTAAAATTAACAATATATGTAGTTCTTGAAAATATTCAGTGAATATAGACACTCATACAAATATATTTTAATTGGATATATACAGGTAAGTACATATATGCATGTATATAGAATTACCATTAAACGTATATAAAAACGCGCATTTAATAACATAGATAAAATGGCAGTTATTCTAGCGTAGAATAGTAAAATCAATTTCATTGACAATTTGTTAATGTCTGCTTCGTTAAGTGGCTACTATGTTGGGCTGGTCGCGCTATAAATTTCGACATGGGTCTGCCGTTGCGATGAATATTGTGTGTAAACTGTTGATGCGTCTGATGAATTTTTGATATGTTAGAGTGCGCGTGGAAGGACTGATGTTTTTCTTCTATTAATACGTCTTTATTCGACATTTTCGTCGATCGGTCTACAATATATTCCACTCCTTCGTGTTCAGCTGTAGCTATAGGTACAGCTCCAACGTTGAGAGTACCATTAAAAATCGTTGAATTAATGCCATTTTTACTTCCAAATTCACGAGTTACCTTAGCAAGCAAATCATAATAGGGATTTTGTTTTGTGTTGGACAAATTTTGTTGTATTTGTTGTTGATGTCTATTGTTTTTAACATCGGATTTCGTTCGTTCCTGGTATGCCTGTTGCTGAGTATGGGGACGAGTATGTTGTATTTGGTTATTAGTTGCGTTTCGGAAGTTATTTTGGATTTGACTTTGAATCTGACTATTACCCTTACTATGCTTTTGTGGCGATTTTTGATGCGTATAACTAAATGTTTCTTTACAAAATGACTTTACTTCTTTTTTGTATTTTTCTATTTCTTCCTCTAATTTTTTCAATCGTTTTTCATAACATAATCGATCATTTCCTCTGACAATGTTTTCAGTAGACTTTGTCACACCACCGCCAATGTTATTCGTTACGTCTGATTTTGAGTTCCGAACATATGAAGGCTTCTTTAAAAATGGAGCGCTGTTATTGTTGTATRGATCTTGAACTTCTATGTCGATATCTGGATAAGCAAAGCTACTATCTTGCTGCCGGTATTCTAATTTTTGCTGTGTAGAATATTTATTTTGTTGTTGCTGAAGAAGATGAGTGGTTGCTTGCTCTGTTTTGTGTTTTTGTTCACCTTTACTTATCGACGACGAGCTACGGTGTTGTCGCCGTGTGCTATCAAGTTTTTTTAGTGTGCCGCTCGGCGATGTAGTCTGTCGACCTACTAGCTCTCCCAATTGTCCTCCTAAACCTACTCTACCATCTGGGAGACTAGCGTAGCCTGCATCTATGGAATGACGCTTGTCAATAACATTAACGGGAAAATGATCATCACAGCTTTCATGTACTTTTAGGTGCTTCTTTTCTTTTAAAACTTCTACTGTTTGCTGGACAAAGTATTTGGAAAGTGTTTTGCCGGACTTGCGTTTTGCATTAGGAGATGTTGTAGTTAACTTTTTAGTGGGTTTACCGTTTATACTGGGCACGCTGATAGATGGTTGTGTTTCACTTTCGTGTTTCTCCGGTCGAGTTAAATACTTATCTTTTGATATATATTTGTCCTCTGAGATTTTGCCTTGCTTAGTCCTGTGGGGYTTCTTTAATGGATCAGTCTTATCGTAGGATTTTGAAAGCTTGTGATCTCTGTACTCGTAAGGCGATACCTAGTTAAGTAAACTTATGTATTAAAGGAATTTTGGCGCTACTTACTTTTGATTTATATTGGAACCCTTAGCAGTTGCAGTCGAATGCCGTTTGTCTGATTTTTCGTTATGTTGAACAATTTCATATAACTTTGACCGATATTCAGGTACCGTCAGACGCACATCATCACGGAATGGTGGCAAAATGTCCACACTCAATTCAATTTCTGGTATAGAGTTGCGAAATCTTTGGTGTTTTTAAAAGATATACCTGTTTTATAAAAAATCGGTTTAAATTCTAAAATGGTCTTTCAGACCACCTTACTTTTCTACGTATGGATGGCCAAGGGCTTGTTTCGCTGTAAGTCGAGCCAAAGGGTCTAAGACTAATAATGATTTGACCATATTTAAAGCATCTTCTGGAGCATCAGACAACATTTCATTTAACGATGTTTTCCTGTAATGCACACAGTGAAATGAAAAAAATGAACATAAATATTTTTACTATATCTTAAATGCACCTTTCACGTGAAATCTGTTTGCTAAGAAGTACGGATCCAAAACCAGCTCCCACTGCTTTAACGTCGTGATCTGTTATTTCTGGTAGAGCTGTTACTATCCTTTCAATCTATTAACCGTATATATATAAATTACATTATTATGCAAATATGCGTTACTTACTTGATTAACAGTACTACTGCCTTGAAACAATGGTTTTCCACGTATCATTTCACCAAGTATGCAACCCAAGCTCCACATATCGATCCCTTTAGTATATCTTTTGCAATAATAATACACCGCAATTGCAATTATAAAGCGATAGTTTTCAAATAAATAACTGAAAATACCTTTTACTTGCGACAAGAATTTCTGGAGCTCTGTACCAACGCGTAGCGACATAATCTGTAAGTATGGGCTCGATGACGTGATCACTAGTCATATCGTTATTCTCTCGCATTGGCCGATTYGAAACAGAGCGTGCTAGTCCGAAATCGGCCAATTTACATCTATAACGACAAGCATGAATATAGGTTCAGTTAAAGTTGGGAAATTGTCTCAGTCACCTGCATTTACTATCTATGAGTACGTTACTTGGCTTCAGGTCCCTATGTATCACATTTCCGGAATGTATATACTTAATGGCATTAATTAATTGGTACATTACATATTTTTTATGAATATCCTTCAAAATAGTGCCCTTCTTAATGATGTTATGCAAGTCACTCTCCATATATTCAAAAATGAGGTATATGTCTAAATTGTTCGATGCTCTGAAAGATCCAATTAACTTGTGTAAATCAAAAGCTTTATTAAGCATATTTATTTAAGGACGGCAAAAATATAATTTTTTTTAATATAAAGCCCTAGGAAATTGTGTAGTGGGCTTGCATACTAACCGATATACAGTTAATAATCGTATGACRTTGGGATGAGTACGAAATGCCTTTAGAAAAACAATTTCACGAAAAGTTCTTTGCGCATCAGTTTCATCACGAAATGCGTCAAAAATTTTCTTTACTGCTACTGTTTCGTTTGTACGCTTATCCATTGCTTTCCACACAATGCCATATGCTCCTTTACCCAAGCGCTAGAAATTTTTAAAGACTTATTATTCTAGTTAAATAACTATGTATGAACTTATACATTTTAATCCACAAATGAAAATGCGGTATAAATGCGGTAAAAATAATTAATATTGCCGAGTCRTTGATTTAAACTTCAAACACATTGAAATTGGTAAAATAACCAATACAGTTCGGTGAAGGAATTAAGCAGTCTTAAAGAGGGATAACATCCTGCTTAATGTTTAAATTTGATGATATCAATAAAATAACTGAGATATTGCAATATGTTAAAGAGATTTTTCTGTCGGTTATATTTGTGAAAAAAGTATGTTAAGAAAGTGTAATGCGATAGTTTAATGTGCATACATACATGAGTCATATTTTATAAGTTATTGTTCATCTTTAGTTTCAGCCTTAGCATTTTGATCAAAAGTGATTTACCTTTTTTATATCAAACATTTTCGAAATATTTTCGTCGATCTCGGACATTTTGTGCTTCTCTTGTTGAGTCTTGGATTTGGTTGTCATTGTGAAGCTCTACCACACGCTTGATTGGGAAAATTGGAACTGTCGATATCTTACAACACGCAACTAGACAGAAGACATTACTATTTTATCGAAATAAAGGTTATCATAACACATTACATTTTTAAACTGTGCAACCGGCTGTTAGCGGCTTGGTATTTATGTTCGCGTTGGAGAGCCTTTTTTGTTTTTTGTGGTGTTGTTACTCAAGTAACCCGAAACAATATACCTAGATACATATGTATACATATGTACGTACTATATGAGATACAATAAAATGTTGAATCCAAACGGATTTGTTAGATCGATGATAAAATAGAACCGTTGCACTATTATTGAAAAAGGAACAATAACGTCAATCCTATGAAACGTTATCAATGAAGTGATACAATGTTGAGTGCAATTTCGTGCATACAATTGCAGTTATATTCGGCTCTGTCAGGCCAATCAAACTCAATCAACTGAAATATATACATACACAAAASATACGTACACATTAGCTGAAACCTAATAAATAAATATGTATAAAGGTATAAAATCCTCGGAATCAAATTTCTTAACACGGTATATGCAAACCATTTCCATTTTTATTTTTGGTAAACGTCACTATTGATGTCAACCTAAGAAAAATTATCACTCACAGTATCACTGTTGATATTCTCTGCGCTTTCAGTACAATATTATGATTTTACAGCAGCTGCAATTGTTAGATATGGAGTTAAGATATGTTTAGAGGCAACACAGGTGGATAATTATGAGCTTGGATCAAGTGTTACCACATTTTTGATMGTATGTTTCTCCTGATACGCCAATTTAAAAACATTTACATGGCTGAGGACACTGCCCTATAATCGTTGTTAAATTTTTCTTTTAAGGCTAATTGCACTTAATCAGTTTAAAAAATATAGAATGTATGCATGTATCTATGTAGTAAAAACTACGTAGTCTTCACTTGAATCTTTGCACAAATTATTTAGACACTTCCAACTGATATTAGCTGTAGACATTGGCGTTTAGTTTTCGGAGTTGACCGAATTTTGCGCACTGGACTTGAGAATATGTGGATAAATGCTATTCTACTCCTTTTATKTATGTTTATTTTTGATAAAAGTGTACAAAAAGTTTTTAAAATATACATATTTGAGATATTTCAACGAGCTATATTCGATATTTTCCACAGTCAACTTTGTTAGGAGCTGCACGGTGAAGTCACAAATGAAAAAAGTTATCACTAAAATAGTATTGTTCAATTGAAAGTTTCTGCGAGGATACGTAGTGCATTGTCGCAACTTTTATTTTTGAATATTTATTTACATGTGTACATATGTATGCGTATGCATTTCGTACATACAATGGTATACCATAAGTATGTACATACGTTTGTTTGGAACTTAACGATTTAGTTTTTGTGCACAAATTTGTTTACGTTTGGTCGCTATGTGCTAGTTGTTGACCATAGCAACAATGTAAGTTCGTTTCCTGGTGACCCGCAAATATACATACTTGTGTATAATTTGTATGCATACTTACATACGCGCATTGATGTTGAGGCTATCCCTATAAGACCTGCAAATCATGTTAACTCATAATTTACTTTACAACCTCTATCACATTTGGAATATTTGTCCGCCGTCCTTTTCTAAACAAGCCATTGGCAATGTCTGGCGCGATTTCAAATTCATTATACATATTTATTATTATTACCATACATTATTTTATCTGTCGGAACATTGTGTGAGTATGTATGTATGCACATATGTACGTAGGAATAGCTAGTACTCAGTTAGTTTCCTTTAATAAATATAACTTAAKAAGTAATTAATACCTCTATTAATGAAGCTAAAAATTTTCTAATATTAGTCTTGTGTTTGAAGTAAACAAATTAATATAATTTTACATAAATAACAGGATGTGCAAAGAGCTTATGCTAAATTGGTCTGATCTGAACAATTCAGAGCTTACAGCGTTGCCTCGGTCAATAACCAATGCCAAATTTCTTTAAGATATGTATCTTGGCAAATAAAAAAGTATTCCATACAAGGACTTGATTTTGTTTGATCAGTTTCTAAGGCAGCTACATGCTTCCGACAAGTGAGTTGCTCCTAGGAAGAAAAGAGCGTATGGAAAATTTCAGATCAATTTCCCAAAACAACTAGCTCGCATATATGTATGTATGTATACAGACAAACAGACGGACAGGTAGTCACACACGGCAACATAGACTAATSATGCTGATCATTTATATATATACTTTATAGGGTCCCGACGTTTCCTTATGGGTTTTACAAATTTCGTTATAATAACTGTTTATAAATCGCTTTATAACCAAATACAAGTCTGATATTTTTCTGATCAGTTCGATACTATTTTACAACCGAAGCATGCACACATGTATACATACATACATATATTATATATGTATTTGTATATATATTTTTTGCCTATGCATATTCATAATAATGATGATTTTAACGGAAGAAACGAAGTTAAAGAATTGTATCTGCTTCGTAACATGCGCCAAAAGGTATGCAATTGAAAACATAGTAGGAACATATTTATGCCATGAAAACCATATTCTTGGGTGGTTAAAAATGTTACTGCCTATATTACATATTTTGTTTGGTCTGGCACATTAAACCAGAGAACGTGAAGTGTATATACATATGTACATATGCATTATCAAAAACCGTGGTGTAGATAAAAAAAACTGAACATTAATATGGTAACATGTATGTGGATGTAAATTAAAAGTTATATGACGTAATTGGTGGTAATACCATCGAGTTTATGATGACTGAATGCGTCTAAACATACATACACATAGTATGTATTTTTGCACCAAATGTAAACATGMAGAGACATATGTATGTATGCATGTTATGTATGCTGAAAAATAGAGAATCCGCAAAGAAATATAACAATTGATAATTTTGATAAGTATGTATATACAATTATAAATTGTCATATAATTAACACACATTTATTACACATTCTTATTTTATAAAAGTGACTTTGCCAACTTCTCAGCTGCTTGTTTGACTACTTGGTGAAATGAGTGTGGTCTCTTTACTGTCAGTTTGTTTGCAATTCAATGTTGAGTTTTGAAACACATTAGGGTAAACCGATTAGTGACAGAAACAGCTGTAAAGTTGCTTACATACTGAAATCATATAATTTAATATATTCTTTTAAGAGTATGGAATTCAGAAATTATTTACTTTAAAATCGATCACTTATTGAAAGATTRCGAAAGCTGCCTTCTTATCCTTTAAAGAAGAGCAACAAAAGTGAAAAATTTGTATGAGAAAATAGAGGCGGTATTCACATTACCTTACGTTTGGATATATGTATATATGAGAGCGGTTTTCACCACAGTTCATGTACATATACATACAATAATATGTGAGTACTTTGCGTGCTAGTAATCAGCTGCGTGGTAGATAGGCAGACAGACAGACTCTCGATAAACAAGCGACTAGTTAAATTTCTTCTCACTAACTGTGAGTAGTCGATGTCGGTAAATTTTTATACGGAGGGGATTAAAAAGTTTTCGTATAATTCGTTCTCTCTTCTTTATTGATAGTGTAAAGTTTACTAAATTGGGAAAATCTATTCGAAATAATTAATATATGTACATATATAATATTACAAATAGTGTCAAATGCATACCTAAGAATCAGTATGGATTTGAGGATTTTGAGGATTAACGTGTAAATATGTGGTAATAGAAGCTTGGAAACAATTGCTTTGATTATTTGTAGTTCTTTTTACTCGATGTATTTATGTATGTATACACATCCATGCATCTATAAAAGTTTATTAAAATTGTGGTACATTAGTTTACGTCAAAGGGAAAAGTGAAGGCACATATTTTTGGCAATGCCTGTCTATATATTAATGATAACAAAATTAACAAGMATAGATTGTGATTAAATAAAAGCAACATATTAACATTAATACAAAGAAGAGGAAATTTCTCATAAACCAACATCCACCCCCCGCATCGTTCGAGAGTAAAGTTCAGACGTACTTATGTACAAATGTAACAAAATATATATTGAAGTTAATAATAGTAAAAACATTGAAATATATAATTAAATTTTAACATTTTGTAATAGTTAGAAAAGTGTTTAAATGAGCCCAACAATCAAAACAGTCTCTTGATTAAAACGTGAGTATTAACCTCTTAATTGTTTCACTTCGTATACAAAAGCGACAAGTATGTATGTGTGTGTCGGGTTTATACAATGTATACACATCACACGTTAGCTTTGATTCTTGTGAAGAAAACGAGAGTCGTTCATCAAATATTGATTCACAACCAAATAGAAAATTCATTGGATTATTCCCATGTAGAACAGTTAAGAGCCATATAAAAGGGCATAAACGGATGCAGTGAAATTATACGACAATGTTCGCTTAAACAACTCAATAAACATTTAGTCCCATAGYAGCGGAACTAGAATTATTTGTTCGAAGTGAATTTGCGAAAAATCGAATTAGGTAACATTGAGACCGACAGTCAGAAAGTCCAATCACAGCGGTKAAAGTGCGTTCACGGTCGGTGCAATATGAAGGAATTGTCGTATACTATACGGTAATATGAAATCAGCTGACTGAAGTGATTCGTTCATTGTATGTGAATGTGTGTTTTCCTGTATTCATATACAATATTTTTATTTACAATGCGCTGTTGTAGGGTAACAGTTCGGTTCTCATTGGCAATCAAATCTTTTGAATTACTCCGCATTGTTGAAATTGGATAACAATATTTTTTAACTTTCTCTATTAACTTGTGTACTCGCTATTGTTGTTTAAACCCTGTTCAAAGCGATGCAAATGTGATTTAATTTTGAAAGTTTTATTGTCTTAAAATCAACCCGATGACATCATTAATTCGTTTGTGAATGTGTATGTAAATATCTACAAGTACAAAAAACTAATATCTAAATAAAAAGCATCATAGATGTTGTATCTGTTACACCCACTTCCATTTCATGGTAACCACCTCCGCATATTGCTCAAAAGTGCTTCCATCACCACAGTATTTGTCACCCTGAATAAAGTGCGTTGGTTTATGTTCACCACTCGATTTGCCGTAGTTCGTAACTCACGGTGGATATTCATAATAATACCCCTGTTCCCGGTTAGATATGATAATTAGATTGCCAAATTGAGTAACTTCGAGAAGTAATTGCAGAAGATGACATACTTTAGGTGTAAAGGCACTTTCAAAAATTCATTTTTTATTTCGAAAAATTGGTGTTCATACCTTGAAATGCACTCGTTTTCCATTACTATTATTTTGATTCGATCACTACCGTATCGGTCCCCTTATTTCAAAGTGGTGTACAAGGATTTCAAATAATGTGAATATTACAAAAAAAGTAAAAAGAATTGAGTAACAAAACGTGGTGCGCACTCTTTTATACCCTCGCAACATGTTGTTACAAAGCATAATAGTTTTCATCTCACAGTTGGCATCGTGATGAGACACGATCTGTCGTCATGAGAATGTGGTTTTGCAGATTGGCAGAAAGTGACCGTTTTTCGCATATGTGAATCAGTGTGAGTTAAATGCATAAAATTGTGTAATTGGCATACCTCAATAAACGCGCTGTGCGGTGCTTAACGCGTTAATGTCGACGAGTATTCACTTAAATTCTAAAATTAATACAAAGATATAAATGCAAAACGAATTAATTTATTAATAATACTTTAATTCATTTGCAAAAGCATTAAGCATCACTCGATCACTCGTCAAATTTTTAAGAAAAATACGGAAATTACTTCTTATCGCGTTGTCAAAATCGAATTTTCCAACTCTCTGTCACTTTTATTTAGGTATGCGCCATACAAATTCAATGAGCAAAGAAATTTTTAACAGTAAGTCAATCAGTCCAGGCCTTCCTTTAGCCCCAACTTAAGTGATGTAAATATGTTTGTATATTTGTATGTGTTTCTTATACAAATAGCAGATGTTAAGTTTTCCTCCTTGGTTGAACTTAGATCACTTACAATTTGAGTTAATTGATTTGGCTTTAATATAAATATCTCGGACACCACAGAAAATTTCGTAATGAAATGTAAATTAGTCTATGGTCTACATATCGTCACCTGAAATGCAAAATAACGTAACAACATTTTCGGAAATTTACAGTGGCACGAATGAAACACGAAATAAAATAGAACATGAGTGAAACAAAATTTTAATGCAGGTTAAAACTGGTTTATATCTGAGCACAGAACCTGAAAATGTTGAACATATGTAATATTATGTATGTAATTTGAAGTAATGAAGCGTAATCAATAAGGCACTCAATTTCGAATTTTTTGATGATACGTTATTTTGCATTTCAGGTAACGATATGTATAGTTTTAATAAAATGCCAATACGATTGTAATTCATTCACAATTCTGTCGAATAACGTACGTACATATGTGTGCTAAACCCTAATGTAGCTTCTTATACATGTCCCTTGGCATTCAAAACACCATTAATATAAAACTTATAAAGTACCATAACTATGCTCTACAATAAGATACAAGACCGTCATTTAGCACAACAAATTTCACTAGAGAAGGGCATCTGTATTTAATGTACATATTTCCTAAACCACTAAAGTTATAATAACCAAATTTGATAAAGATAAGTCATTGCGACACCCCTACCGAAAGTGTGTGAATGCTTGAAATGGACTTATAATCTCGCCTACTTCCCGTATTTGTAATGTATATAATGTCCGATAAATCAATAACTAAATGCGTCAGAGACAATAAAGTTCACAGCCGGAATTCACAGCCAAAATAAAAAAAAAAAAATTTAACATAATTTTGACATTTTCGTGATACCGTGTGAAAATGGGCGAAAGCTGACAACAGTGGGCGTGGTTCCTATATAACATAATTTTAAATTACATATGCCCTCAAATACCGAATGCTCCAGTGTCATGTGYGAAATTTTTATCGAAAATGTCGGTCAATCTGTGACATAAACCATTTACATTAAACCGTTGAGGTTGGTCATGTATAATATTTTAATGAAATTAAGTGAACAATTTTTCTTAAAAATAAGGTGGCTTAGCGATGAATACGAATGGAATTGGCTTAGACCTTGGTCCATAGTTCGTATTCATACAGGGTTTGTCCGGAAAGTAACAGGACTGAGTCGAATTAAAAAAAATATTAAACCAATCGTTACAACTCTCTTAAAACTCTCAAAATAGGCTCTTTCTGCGTCGATGCAGCGCTGCCAGCGCCAACACGGTCTTCATCAGCGACCTCTTCCCGGCCATCCAAAAAGGCCTGGTGCTACCGAACCACACCACTTCTTGCTAAAGCAACGTCTGGGTAAGCCTGCTTGATCATATCAAACGTATCTGTCGCAGATTTACCGAGTAAATCGCTGCATTTTCGGCTTTCACTACTCATTCTCCGGACAAACCCTGTATTATGCATATCTAAACAAATGCAATATATTGATTAAATTTAATGTCTTCCGTGGGGTATACATTTATATAATATATTTCTTTTGTTTTTTATACTCTTGCAACATGTTGCTACAGAGTATAATAGTTCACTTTACGGCTGTATACTTCACCTAAAACTAATTGATATAGATATAAAGTTTTAAATACGATCCGTCCGTCCTTCCGTTTAAGCTGTAACTGGAGTAAAAATTAAGAAAAGATGCATACAATTACAATCGGACCACTGCCACGCCCACAAAACACCATTAATCGAAAACATATGAAATGTCATAACTAAGTACAAAATAAGATATGGAATTGTAATTTAGCATAGGAGTTCGTAATACTAAGAGGCACCTGTGGGCTAAAATTTTTGAAAAAGTGGGAGTGGGTCCAGCCTATAATTGGGTTAATCTAACTATATTCTAAACCACTTAAGCTACAATAACCAAATTCGCTACACTGTAAAAATGGATGAAATSGGAAGATAAATCCGTCTACTCTYCTTATAACAGTTGTTCACGCCAATCGTTCGTTCGTTTATGCCCAGACTCCCTTAAAACCCTCTCATATCATATAGGGTGTAAAATTATGTCTCTGGTATATTTAGCAAATTTGCAATGATTTTTTCGTACTTTTAGCAGTTTTTAACAGTACGGTAATATGGGGAGTGGGCGTGGGTATCTTCCGATTTCATCTATTTTTAAGGTGCAAATTTACATATATACATATGTAAAAATATTATTTATACATATGTATATATGTATAATATGTCAATTTACACTGTAAAAAATTCCTCTCGCTTAGTTTGCGACATATTATATAGAGATAGAGATACATATTTATAGAGARAGCTGAACTTAAAGGTGATTTAAGTTTTCAAAGATTAATTGTCACAAAAGGCAGTAACTAACTATACAAACAACAAATATTTTCATCCTTACATACATTTGTATATAATAATGTGTTTAAAAATTATTTGTCTTGCAGAAAACTCGATAATAAATGTTGGATATACACCACGTGTGATATGAGATGCAAAATAAACCTTATCTACCACACTGTATTAAATAGTAATAAGCGTACGATATAATTATCCTGTATTACATACATATGTAGAAAGAAAAGTTATTCCAGCTTTCAGCCCTAATGACTCTGTGCTATTACTCCCACTCATTTACTTACTGTAAGAGCGAAACAAAATATGTTACTTATAAGTGCGCTCGCCCTGGGTTTTGTGGACTCAACAAATTTCAATGCAGGCATTCACTTGGGCATATTTAATCTTGCGACAACAGCGGTGGCTGCAGCCACAACGTCGGCGATAAATACAGCTGTTGCAGAAGACAACGTGGACGCTGTGATAAGTGGCACAATGCCGATAATATCCACAGAAGACACTCATGTTAAAGCTTTGACAACAGATACTGTTAGTGGTACTTCAATAGCGCATACAACGACATCAGTTGGCAGTAGTGCGAGCAGTGGTACCATTACTTGGGATAACAATGGTACTCTTCGATCACTTAATCCAGGCGATTGGTCGATCGAACAGTGTGTTATTTGGGAAAGGCCTCATCATCTTTATTATCAACTAGGGAATGCCTTCTTTCTACTAGCATTCTTGGCACCACATGGACCTTTTGGCGCATTGTGGCTGAGAGCACTGATTCTCATAGGATGCACGCTGATGGCGATGTATGGCTACTTGGTAGAGTGTAAACCAGATATAGTGATCTGGTCTGGACTATTTTTCATCGTCAATTTCATTTACCTAATTATTGTGTTGTGTCGATTGCGACCTGTTCGATTCGATAAAGAAATTGAAGGGGTAAGTAAGATGGAGAGCTAACCATTTGCATTTATTAGTGGGATATGTATCCATTGCGATATGGTTTCAATTATGGACATTTCGCTAACTTACTGGGTTATTTTTTAATTTTATGACACACAAAAACCGTATAGTAATATTGTAATAATATTTTACATGGAAATTTAGTCACTTAAAACTGCTATTATAAATTGAAATCATAAAAAGTAAAGAAGTATGAAATGCGCTTGTTACAAATACATACTTTATATACTTTGACCATTTGCAACAATTAAAGGCAGGTAAAATATTTTCAGGTGTCTGCTAAACTCTATGATAAACAATATTTCAGATGAATGCACGAATATAAAATACTTCGAAAAGAATGATATCCTTATTTATTAAAAACGGAGTAATTTCATATCTAAATACAAATAATTTAAGAATCTACAAAAAAAAAAAAAAAATTAAAAAAGTTGTATGTTTTCTTTGATATTTATACTTGAGAAATAATACGAGTATACAATTAAATATCCACTTACCTAAAGAGTTATACTAAAAATCATATTTTTTAATTGCATATCATTTAATCTCGTATTTATTTTAATTCCATGAGATGTTTATCTCGAATGTTAATCGGTTTAAAATCATTATACACATTTTCATGAGATTATAATAAAATGTAAAAACATGCAGATGTCTAGTAGAGAATAGTTGTACTTGTTATACCTTTAGAATTCATATTGGTTCAATAATCAGAAAATCGTTATTTCATTTGATAGACTATTCAAAATTTACTATACTCATCGAACGTGCCTGCTAGTATTTACGTACATAAATTTGCTAATATGAATAACTGACATGTGTATGAATGTGTTTGACTTACATTACTATATGTACTCATCCTAGATAGTATTAGTAGCTATTCATTCAATCGTTAACATAACAACAGTATTTCTAATTTGGTTGCATGGTTAAATGGACTGGATCTGATATGTATATGCGTGTATGTATGCTTGGATGGGTATTGTCTATCGGGCATATACTGATTTATATGAGTAGGGTTATGGGGTATCACAGTTTATAATTATGAATTATTTTTGATATTCGCATACTTAAATTTAATGCAACTTATAGAATACATTTTATAATAATGGGAATATGAGTTTTACTAATAAGAATGTACGAATAAAATACATACTATGTTATTTTAATAACTTCTTATATTATACAAATGCAATAAATTTTTTGGTATATAGTTGGATATTGTCACATCCGCATACATAACCCGATCGGTGGTCTGGTAGCTGCCACAAACTGTTTCAACTCAATCAAAATATGGTTATAAACGATTTTTGTTGGGTTGCTACTTTTGGTTTGGATAATATCAAATCTATCCACTTTAGTACCTTAACTAATTTGTATTTTCGATGCGAGAAAATACAAGTGAAGGCATGTAGCTAACAATACGGACATATTGCCCATAGCGATCGTCATATGGATGCGACGAAAAGTTGTGTGAATTCTTTGATAGTGCGGACACTGAATAAGAATGCCTTGCTCAAGTGAGCCCACTTCCCGTCCACTACCGATAGCACCTTCAATCCGATATTTCTCATGCATCAGGCGCAGCATTGGTGGAGCGAGGTAGAGTCGTATAATAATCTCAATTAAAACAGTGGCGCTCAGTGCTATCAGCTGCGTTATTGCGGTTGCATTCCATGAGGTGAGGAAGTACTTCACAAAGAGTATCAGCATACTTATGCTCAATATTGAGCTCATAGCAAAATAACGTGGGAATAGAATCTGTTGACATTGCCCAAAAATATGTCGCGGCAACGAGAAATATAATGATAAACCTGAAATAGAGTCAAATTGTTATTAATAATAATAATTCATCAAATATTTCAAAACTAAAGAACTATATAATCAAGATAATTTGATCCTTTCAGAATGCTAATAATGCTAATTGCGCACTAAGCACTTTGATAAAGCAATAAAACTAAAACTGGTAGGTATACGTATACAAATATCGAAATGATTTTGTTGCTTTTGTCTGTTCGTTTGTAGTCTAAAATTGAGAGTAATATGGCAGCAAACATGGAAGGCATCGATAATCCACTATCTTATTAAAACATTTCTATATATACAACCATACATAGGGCACTTTTAGAATATCAGGTTAACCACCTTTAGGAAACATACCTAAGACACCTGATCATATCTGYAATTAATATTGATGTGTTTGTAATTTCTTTCCTCCAATAGATGCGAGAGATAAATACGTATAATATTTGTAAAAAAAAAAAAAAACATAGTACTTGCTTATGCATGTATGAATACAGTTACTGAACTATTTAATTTACGGACATAAGCTGATCATTATATTGTGCTGGTTCAAATTTTATATTTCTGTGCGCCTATTAATATATACATATTACGAATATACACATGTATATATGTACATATTTGTTTGCTCGAATAATTTATTAAATTTTCTGCAGAAAATTGGTTCGTCTGCGCACTTCTGATAACCGGTGATTTTGGGATCGGCTTTGGCTTTAAATTGTAAAATATATGGACAATGAAAATGTAACATTCGTTTAGTTTAGAAATAAAATTCCTTCTATAAATTTACGCAGAGCGTACATGTAGTAATTTCACTGAAAACTATATGTAATTTACCTGAGATGAATGTCATCCATATCTGGGCACCAAAATGCGTTGCGAATGCACCCAAGTATGCGATTGTAGCCAAAGTATTATGTCGTTCGCTTCGGCGATCGCCCATTGGTGAAACTTGGTGCGAGGCTCTGTTATTGGAGACGTTACGGGTGTCGACTATATCTGGCCATACCGTGAAAGTAACAAAAGTCAGTACGCAGACGGCAACAATGTGGGCTGGTTGCGTTGTTCTCGTCAACAATCTATAAATTGATAAAATATCGATAGTTTGTAACTTTAAATGCATTTATACTATTCAAAATTATCAAAGGAATTCAGGGACGGCTTATAGTTATTATTTCCTATTTCGCAAACAAAATTATAAAACGGTTATACATGCAATGTATTTATTTGTTGAAGGAATTGACAACATCATGATATGAGCCGGAGACTTGCTTAATTTTTACAGGTAATTTTATTTCTGAAAATACGATGTGTATAGCTTGCAAAAATACCAAACTTATGAAAAAAGCTTGAATTTTTTCTCTGCCTTGCATATTTATGCGCTTAGAAGTCGCAGCGGTGTGGCGTACGTGCGAAAACGCATGCAGTTTAAATGAGGTTAAATTTTCATATGAGTACTGACTTGGGACCAGAACGGTTGTGCTCGCACGAAATTGCTGTCACCTTCTCAATATACAGATATATGTATGTACTTTCCAAATTTAACGCTTTATTATGAACCCTCAAGCGGCAGAATTATTCATTGACACTGCATTTCCATGAATGTACAAATCTAAATATTTGCCTATATAAAATTGCAGCAAATTGAAACCCTGATTTGCTGGTATATCAACACTTAATTGACTAGCTGGACAAATAATAAGTATAGGTGTAAAATGGAGTATAAAATACGCAACGGCAGGTGGTTCAAGGTACAAATGTATTTTCGTAATTAGCGCGAAAGGATGCTAAATTAATTTTTGTAAAATCTTAACAAAAAAAAAGCTATAAGCTTAATTGTGCGGTGTTATGGCACATTTCAACGTGAACTATGAACTTGCGATCTTTATTGTGGCGTTGTCTAATCAGATTTTTTGTACTAAACATTTATAGTACAAAGTACACACATATATAAATATAATTGAAACTGTGTGTGTATAGACCACATGACACTATTGGGTTGAAACTACCTTTGCAGAAATTAATAAAGTGTTTATGTATGCACATGCAGGTCGAGCTTTATATAATAAATCAGTTAGTGCATAATGTAATATGTGTTCTAAATGTGTGAAAGTACATTTAAAGCATCAATGACGTATTGAAAATATTTCGCCACTATTCATTGGCTGCGGAGGCGATGTTAGGCCTTTCAAGTGCACTTACATGTATACATACAGTGCGTGGTGTATTGTCTTGAGTGACAACAAAATAAGTTTCTTCATTCAATCGTTTTAGAAGTTTTCTTTACAACGAATACAACTGTAGTTGGGCAATCTGGCATTTGCTTTCAGTCGAAAYTTAAGAAGGCGCCAAATTGTAATTTACACGTTGAAAAACGAGAATGCGCGCATGAATGTGATATAAAAAAGTACGGATGGTTTTGAAGCTTCGCAAACTTTTTATGATCGGTAGACGACGATTACGATGTCACACCTCAAGCTATTTACTATTCTATATTACTTAAACCATATCGTCACAGAGAAGCCACGTGTTGACATAGAAATAACATCTACATGCAARCGGTGTATGTATATGTGTTTRTGTGTATGATTTCACATCGACTATCAATTGCATTGTTTTTTCAGGCGGAAACTTTCCAATAGCGGGCGCGTGAACGTCTGTAGATAAAATTTACAAAGCTTTTGTACACGCGCACCTATACCTAACTTCATACGGGCAGATGTATATACATATGTATGTATGTGTGTAAGTACCTGAAAGAGCACCTGCTACAAAACTGATCTAATTCTGAATGTCAATTGGTGGCTGTCGTGACGTTGTTATCGTTCACAAGTTCGTAATGACATTGCCATTAGGACACTGCATATATAACATTCACGTTGAAAAGAATATTTCATATGCATGTAAATATGTTCATATGTCGGGCGGAAACAAATACAGTATGCATACGTCCTTAGGTTTAATAAGTAAATGAAATTTTTAACCGTTCAAGCGTCATGAGACCACGAAAGAATTATTCTTGGATRTATATGTGTATGTATGTATTTAACATGCACAAAGTCTGTACGAACATAAGCAGAATAAAATAATATCAAAAATCTAAAGCCATTGCAGCAGCAATGCGCTGTTGCCAACTTAATTACAAGCAATGTACAAAGTGATATACCATGCGA